AGAGAGAATTAAAATGATGCATTTATGATTGAGAAGATCTCCAAGGCCATTCAGTGCTGCTTGATGCCACCAGAAGATGCAGAGAGATTTTTCTGGGGCTCACAAGTTGACATATCTGCTTTCCAGAATGGATTTCTGATGCTGGGCTGTGGATGTGTGCAGGTGCCAATGGGAGTGGAGCCCCCAGCCAGGTGTCTTCCCAACACGGATCACTGGCACCACGGATCACCGGGAGTCCAGCAAGGAGCTGGAGCAGCACACAAAGCTCTTCCTGCATTTCGGGCACTCACAGGGCTTCCTTTAGTGGTAGCTCTGTTGGTGTCTGGTCAAGGTACACCTCTGTGAGAAGCTCTTCCCACACTCAGAACACTCATAGGGCCTCTCCCTGGTGTGGGTGTGCCGGTGGCTGGTGAGACTGCAGTTGTGAGTGAAGCCCTTCCCGCAGTCAGGGCAGCGGAAGGGCCTCTCATCTGTGTGAAGCTGCTGGTGCAGAATGAGATTGGTGCTGAACGGAAATGTCTTCTTGCATTTATCACACTCGTAGGGCCTCTCCCCAGTGTGGCTCCTCTGGTGGTAGACCAGGTGGGACTTGGACATGAAGCTCTTCCCACACTCCCCACACTCAAAGGGCCGTTCCCCCGTGTGGCTCCTCTGGTGGACAATCAGTTCACACCTCCACCTAAAGCTCTTCCCACACTCTGCACACTCAAAGGGCCGTTCCAGCCCTGTGTGCATTTCCATGTGGCGGGTCAGGTGGCACCTTCTCTGGTAGCTTTTCCCACACTCCCCACACTCAAAGGGCCGTTCCCCCGTGTGATTTCTCTGGTGGATGGTCAGTTCAGAGCTTGTCCTGAAGCCCTTCCCACACTCTGCACACTCATAGGGCCGTTCCCCCGTGTGGGTTCTCACATGGGCAGTCAGGGTGGAGTGCTGGGTGAAGCTCTTCCCACACTCAGGACACTCATAGGGCCTCTCCCCGCGGTGGGTGTGCAGGTGGGTGATGAGGACAGACTTGAGCTTGAAGCCCTTTGCACAAATGGGGCAGCAGAAGGGCCTCTCCTCGGCGTGACTCCGCTGATGCCTGACAAGACAGGAACTCTTCCTCCCGCTGCTCCTCCGCTCCCAGCCCGGCCCGGGCAGCGCCGGCACCCAAAAGCAGCCGCGCTCTGCCCTGGGGGGGCTGTGTTCCAATGCGGCCCCGCCCCGCGCGGCACTGGGAGCGATACCGAGAGCACTGGGAACGATCCTGAGAGCAGCGGGAAGGAACTGGGAGCGCTTTCCCTGCCGGGGCCGCTCTTACTGGGAGCACTGGGAGGGAACTGGGAGCAAACAGCGCCCGGACGGGGCTGCAGCCGGCGGTGGGCGTGACCAACACGAAGGGCGTGGTTATGCAAATCTGGGCGCAATCGCGCGCTGGGATTGGTGGGTGGCAGCAGCGCGGGGTTTGGTCGGTGACGTCAGGGCAGGGGGACCGGAGCGATGGCGGCGGTGTCCGGTGAGAGGGGACAGGGAGCGGGAATGGGGACAGGGAATGGGACTGGGAATAGGGATAGGGGCTGGGAATGGGGAGCAGGATTAGGGAGATGGACCGGGAATGGGACTGGGGATACGGCAGAGGGACCGGGATTAGAATCCGGAATCGTGATATGGGACTGGGAATATGGAAATGACCAGCAGTGAGACCGGGAATACGAGAACGGGATCAGGACTGGGAATATGGGACTGGAATATGGGAAGGGCAACCAGACAGGGAATACAGGAGAGGGACAGGGAATGGAATCCGGACTTGGATGAGAGCAGGATGGGCCGAGGAGGGGAGTGACGGGAGAATGGGCGAGGAGCAAGGGGGGCGATAGCAGGGACAGGGCGATCCTGGACAGGGGAGACCGGGAAGTGGGGTGGGGGAACATGGGGACAGTTCCAGGGCAGGAGGACCTTGATCAGCTGCCCCAGGTCTCCCAGCTGCCCCACCAGGCTCTCCTAGCACATCCAGAGCCACTCGGTGTGGGGTGCCCAAAGCGCTGAGCAGCCCCCAAGTCCCTCCCAGGAGCCCTCAACTCCCTCAGACCCAGTGTGAAAAACGACAACCACTTGTTTTTGAAATTTTAAAAATTTAATAGTAATAAAATGGTTATAAAAATAGTAATATAATTAAAATAATAAAATTTGAACATTTGAGATTAGGACAATATGAGACAATAAAAACAAAGAGATAGGACCTGGCCGTGTTCCACAACGGCGATGCCTCGCACCAGTTTGGTTTCACAGTCGGACCAGTTTGCTTCAGCTGAAAGTGGTGCCACCCAAACCGAGCCAGCCGGTTCTGTCCCCGCCCAAGAGACATCCCGATGGGGACAGGTGGATGCAGGGCTCCCACCTGCTCCACAGAGCTGCTGTGTTTGGAGCTGCATTATGCCCTGGACTCCACTTCCTTCTGCAGTTGAGGAATATTGTTTACAGAAGTCATTTCTCTATAAATTATATATATATATTATATATGTATATATTATATATGAGAAGGTGCTGATTTAATGACTGCTTGGGGGAGGTTTGAGAGTTATAATTGCTGGGAACTGTCTGTAAAGGAAAAAAAAAAACAAAAACCAAGGAGCAAAACTAGTGCCAGCTTGGGAGAAGGGGAAGGAAAGGAGCTTTTCTTTGCCAGGGTCAAGTGCACAAATGGTTGGAGCATTGATTGCCCAGGACTGGGCTGGGAAGTGGCCCTGGTGAGCCTGGGAGAGCCCAGTGTGCTGCTGCTCCAGCACCTCCCTCCCAGCCAGGCACCAAGTGCTGCAAAGAGGTGAAAATGTCAATCCCCCAAAAATCCTGCCTCAGTTTTGAGTCTCCATCTCACTGAGAGGGATTTTAGTGGTGTAGAGACAGGCACTGTAGCACTGGGTGCCTTTGTGGGCATGTGCACCTGCTGGCACTTGGGGAAACTGAGGCAGGGCCAGCTCAGCACTCCCTGTTCCCAGGTGTAATGGGGATGGTTGGAATGTCCCAGCATGGAGCAATCATCTGTGTGCTTCTAGTCACAGCTGGAAGGAAAGTTCCCCTTTGTCCTGCCTGTCTGTAGGGAAAATAAAATCACAGAATCCTAAATGGTTTGGGTTGGAATAGAACTTAAATCCCATCCAGTACCACCCCTGCCATGGCAGGTGTGAAAAATGCCAATCACTTATTTTTGAAATTTAAAAAGTTTAATAGTAATAAAATGGTTATAAAAATAGTAATATAATTAGAATAATAAAATTTGAACATTTGAGATTAGGACAATATGAGACAATAAAAACAAAGAGATACGGAAGTCCGGGTACCTTTTTCTGGGCAACACAGGCCTGAAAAAGGACACCCATTAGCAGAGAATTAACCTTAAAAACAATTGCCTGCTGAATATTCATACATCTGATACATGATGCATAAATTTCATTCAAACACAGGATTCTGTCTGGTCACTGTCAACTTCTTCCTCTTAATCCTCATGCCGTCTTCCTGTCTGAGTGAGGTGAGAAGAAGTTATTTTTCTGCTGGTAAGGGAGCAATAAATTCCCTTTCTCTGAAAGATTTAGGTGTCCTGTGGCTCCTATCTGGTGCGAGTCCTTTCTTAAACAAATACCTTGCATAGTATAGTTTCTATTTTCTCTCCCCATGGCACTGACCAGAGGAGGTCTGTGGACAGGAACATCCACAGCTGGGAGCAGTTTGGGCACTTCATCACCATTTTAGGCACTTCCATCCCTTTGGGCTCTTCCCAGAGGCCTGCAGATGTGGCAGGGGGGACTGCAGAGAGGGATGAGGGATGCCAAGAGTGGGATTTTGGGCACAGGATGAGGGGCTGTGTGAGCCATCTGCTGGGGGGTTGGTCTGGAGGCTCCCCTGGTGGTCCTGGGCCCCAGGCTGCAGAGCTGTCACCACCTCCTGCTTCGGGGGGTGGCTCTGGTGGGACCTCCATTCCCTGGGGCTCTTCCTGCAGCCAGAGAACTTGTAGGGACCTTCCTCCAGCTGGGTCCTCCAGGTGTTCCATGAGCTTTGGGCTCCTACTGGGAGTGACTGGGCTCTCCTGGGATCCTACGGAGATCATACTGGGAGTGACTGGGAATGACTCCAAGCATGCTGAGGGCAACTGGGATATATTGGGAATGTCTGTAACCCTCTTGGGACTGACAGGGACCACACTGGGAGCAACAGGGACCATGCTGGAGGCAACTGGGAGCAAGTGGGAGTGACTGGGTCTACACTGAGGGCAACTGGGCATGATGGGACCCTGGTGGAAGAGACTGGGATCATACAGGGAGTGACTGGGACTATACTAGAGGCCACTGATATCACACTGGGAGCAGCAGGGAGCAACTGGAACCATGCTGAGGGCCACAGGGATCATACTGGGAGTGACTGGGCTCTGAGAACACAGGATGGTGAGGAGCAGGAGGACAAGTCCCATCCCAGCCCCACAAATAGCCCCTACTCCCATGGATCCCCCAAGCCCCTGGCTCCCCCAGCTCACCCCTGCTCTGACTGTACTGGACTTGCAGCATCTCCAGGTGGGTGGTGGATGTGCTGGGTGCACTCACCTGCCTGGCTCTGGGAATCCCAATATTCCATCTCAAATCTGGCCCTGCTCTAAGGGGTGCATGCAAAGGTGGGTAACACAGGATGGTGAGGAGCAGGAGGACAAGTCCCATCCCAGCCCCACAAATAGCCCCTACTCCCATGGATCCCCCAAGCCCCTGGCTCCCCCAGCTCACCCCTGCTCTGACTGTACTGGACTTGCAGCATCTCCAGGTGGGTGGTGGATGTGCTGGGTGCACTCACCTGCCTGGCTCTGGGAATCCCAATATTCCATCTCAAATCTGGCCCTGCTCTAAGGGGTGCATGCAAAGGTGGGTAAGGAGGCTGGAGCATGGACTGAAGGACTTCCCACATTCCAAGCACTTGTAGGGCTTCTCCCTGCCATGAAGGGAATCACCAGCTCTGAGCAGCATCTGGATCTCTGGCCCCCATCCCAGATAAAGAGATTTCACCAATCCATCCCTGGCAGGACAGCATGGGTAAGGGATTGTCCTGCAGCTGGGAGCTATGCTGGGCTGGGAGATGGAGCAGGAGAGAGGGGGAAAGTGACTTCCTCCTCACCTGCCTGGGGCTCCCAGCAGATCTTCATCTTCCTTGCAGCTTCCTCCTCCATCGGGCCAAGGTTTGGGATTCCTGTTCTTGAGGAAAAACAACGTGTGGGCCTGTTGCCTTGGGTGTTCCTCCTGCCCAAGTCCATCTCTAGAAGTCAGCAGGTGTCTGGTGCCCATAAAAACATCCAGCCCAGCAAGATTCAGCCACCCTTAAAAAACCCAAACCACCAAGATTCACCAAACAACCACACACCCAGGAGTTCCCCTGCTCTGGTCTCTCCTCTTTGGGGTTCAGGGGCTCCCTCCTGTCTGGCCTTCTGCAGCCCCAGTGTGCATTGGTATCCCCTCTCTCTGGGCTGCAGGGGCTCCTGGCAATGCCAGAGGTTCCCTTTCTCTGGGCTGCCCAGGTGGGTGTCAGAGGGGCTCCAGGGGTGCTGCCTGTGCGGGGTCCCCATTTCAGGGCCCCGGGGTCCCCATGGGTCTCCCTTGTCCATGGTCCCAACATCTCCAGGCTGCCGGGGTTCTCCCTCTCTGGGCTCCACATTCCAGGCTCCTGGGGGTCCCTGTTATGGGGACGTCTGACCCTGCAGGCTGCAGAGGGGCCCCCAGCTGCAATACTGCTCGGGCACTGCGGGTTCTGCAACAAGGCAGAATATTCAGTTCATGGAATCTCTGTTATCTCTGCTTACTGTGCACAACCAGCTGCTGCTGAGACCATCCTAGCTCAGACCGAAGGCTTCCCGTCCAAAATGCTGTGTTCAGTTCTGACACACCATTAAGGAATCCAAGAGCAAAACTGAATGCTGATTATAGAATCTTGCAAAATCACATCCGAGAACATTTTGTCGTACGATCACAAATATTAACAGATGCTGAGAAAGTCAACAACATTACAAAACAAGGTTCCAACAACTGGGACTAGAAGAGCTCAGACAATGCA